AACGTGCGTTCACGTTCGGTTTGTGCCATCGGTTGGTTCTGTGGTGCCGTACGTGTAGATCGTTTGGTGCCGGCGACTCGTCGGAATCAGAGTTCATCACGACCTTTTTGACAAAAGTTTGATTACGGTACGAAATTTGTACTCCCTCCGTTCGAAAATAAAGTAGGGAGTATAAGATATTGTTAACTTGAGGGGAAAAAAAATGCCCTCACGCAGGATCGAACTACGGACCTTCAGTTTACAAGACTGACGCTCTACCACTGAGCTATAAGGGCTGTTTTGTTATTGTAGCTGCATACGTCTTCTCTTACATTAAATAATGAAATGATCAATTCAGTAGAAGATGACGTTGATAACTAACTAATTTATAAAGTACATACAAAAAATAAGCAAAATAGCCCTTATAGCTCAGTGGTAGAGCGTCAGTCTTGTAAACTGAAGGTCCGTAGTTCGATCCTGCGTGAGGGCACTTTTTTATCTGTTGCTACTACCTAAATACTCCACCGCAACACTTATGAACTTATTATGAATAGCTGAACAAGAAAAGTTCTTCCATATGTTTGTCACCTTTCCGCACTTTGATCAAACATAAACTTGGCAAGATTTATAAACCTCGGATACAAATCTTGGGGACATGCACAATTATCATGATTAATTTTTCCAGAATCTATTGGTTGTTTCAAGCATCTACACTATCTTGGTTTTTGGTATGGGGTAGCAAGTAAACTTTGCCTTGCTGGTCAACAAAAGTTAACATGGTTTTCCGCATTAGACAAGCCTACTGCAAGTGCTTGATTTGGGTTCTCATGACAATATCCGTTTCTCCTTTGGTGAATACTCCCTCTATAAAGAAATATAAGAGCGTTTAGATCAGATCAAACACTCTTATATTTCTTTACAGAGGGAGTACATGATTAAGCTCATCTAACATGCGGTATGTTATCTATGCTTAAAGTCGCTCAATGTTCGAGTTTCTCCCTTGTTTCCATCCAACATGGAGCACCTCACATCAACTCTACTCATAGCCAAAAACTAATTCCGAAAATGACACCCCCAAAACTAAACTCCCCAAAAATCATGGGTACGGGGAGGGTGGTTTCTGATTGATGCCCAAAACATTAACCCCAAAAGCACATCTTGAAAAGCTATTCCCCTGTTTTGGCCATATACTTCATAATTGAACTTCACTTCCAACTTCATAATTCAAGGTACCCAATTAAACATAGCTCAAATAAAAGTTAAGTCTAAGATAAACATAACTAAAACCTAATTGAACATCACAAAAGTCAAGCCTTCATACCATGACACACAACTATATGCAAAAACTTAAAACTGTGTCACCTACTAGGCCTCGTCGTTAGATGAAATATCGATGAAATCTTCAGCCGCCACTAGTATCTCATGTGTTCCCTCATCAGCAGGAATGTCCCCTTGTAGCTCCTCCCAAGCCTGGTCGTGAGCTATGTGGCGCCTCGTATGCAGAACGCTGCTTGCAATAGGAGAGCTCTCTTACGAGGCCTTTATTGTGCGGCGCTCGTTGGTAGCGTGTTGCTAGTGGGCCACATGCTCTCGGTGATACTTGGCATGGGAGGCCTTGATTGTGTGGTGCTTCTCGATGTTACATTGCTTACGACGAGTTATGCACAATAGTCTTTGGTAGAGGCGAATATGGCAATGATCTCCTCCTCTAGCTTGTGCTTGAGCTGCTCATATTAGGTGAGAGGGGGTCGAACTTAGAGCTAGATTCCACCTCCATCGCCAGGTCATTGTTGCTGAGCTCGATGACAGGAGAATCGCGACAAAGCTCGACGACACATGCCCACGCAACACGGATACGGTGGTGATGTGGCACACCATCATTAGCAGACTCATTAAGAAAGGATGGTTTTGATATGGGGGCAACTGTGGATAGATGAAGAGGAGGCAAAAAAAATCGACGGAGGTGGAACCACAGATGATAGTTGGGAGCCATGAAAATTCATATAGATGCCCTTATTGGATTTTGGTGTTCAATGACAAACAGTTGAGGGGACTAACATTTTTAAGTTTATTTCAAGAAAAATAGTCCTCATGTTTTGAGTGATATCAATTGTGGCCACTAGCTCCAACTTTTCAAGATATTGTTTAAAGTCAAAGTCCTCAAAATAATCCACTTTAGCTACTCTACTCCTATGTTTTCTCGAGCCGCGATACCACCTTGGTTTCCTACCCTGTAATACTGAACCCATATGGAGTGAGCTAACCCTTTCCAGCAATCCCATTTTTTTCCAACGTCAGAACTGTCGCTCAGTTTGTTCCGGCACTGTCGGCCCATGTTTCTTGAAGCCTTTCCTTTTTGTTCCACTACTGAGCATAACTATTTTCACAGTACATCTGAGCACTTTTGGTGTACTTTTGTATCGAGTTGCAACATGGGTCGGTACTCCTGGGTAAATCCTTCATGTACTTTCGAGCATAGTTTTCAATTGATAACTACGTTGTTTACTATGGTACTATAGAGACGTTGTTTTACATGGTACTTCTGAGTCAGTTATATTCCCGTAGAAAAGACCCACCTTTTTGTTGTCTGAAACATCCGCTCTACTTTACCCCGGTACTTCTAAGTGTTGTGTTTTCAATGAGGATTTCGATGCATGTTTTGTCCGTTCAATATTTTGAGCGTGTCTGGTAGTTCCGAGATATTTCTATGGTACTTCTAGGATAGTTACCTTTTTCAGATAATGGCTAGATTTCTGTCGAGCTCTATACATAGACTTGTATACCCCTTCCTTGTGGCAAAATAATCAGTCATTTCACTCCATTTGAATTGCGACTTCTTTCAAGTCTAGAGAGTCCCAAGGCAAGAATGGAAGTAAGGAAGTTCTTGGGTGATTCCATGAGCACTTTCATGATTCTTTAAAGGCCAAGCTCATGTATTTTTCTTAAACCCCTACACCTAGTGTTCCTATCTTCTTACAACATTTGTATCATATGTGAGAGAGAAGTACTTTGAGGACTTCTACGAGGTGACTTTGCTTCGCTTGTTACTTTTGGGTTCTTGAGAAGTACTTTGTTTAAGTATCTTTTGAGGAGTTGTACCAAGTGACTTTGCTTTTTTTGAACTTTTGGAGGGTGTGCATCTCCTAGACTGGTTTTTTTTGCGGGGCACATCTCCTAGATGGTTAGAGGTCAATTGATAGCCATCAACCGTCATATTGTTAAGGAATCAAGAGAGGTCGGGAGATTACCTTCTCTGTGCAAAGAACTACCCCGAGTGAGGCTTGTTTAAGCCATGGTGGAACATGTTGGTTCTTCTTAGTGGGGTATAACTGCCTTTTGGGCATCCACTAGACAGGGTTAAAGAAAAAAACACTTTTTGGGGTTGGATGTGTTTGGCTATCGATTAGAGCTGCTCTCACCATGGCGTTTGGCAATTTCATGACATCGAGGAGTTTGAATGTCTTTTGATGAATCCCTTTTCTCCTTTCAGTTTTCAAGAAGTCATGTTTACCCTTGACTCATGGTTGAGGTGTGATAACCCAGAGGAGGGGAGCGGGGCAAAGACAGTGACATTCATGTGAGTGATGAATCCATTTGCTTCATTTCGTAACAACGGACATTGGATTCATATGTTTCCTATGGTTTGTATTAATAATAATTGTAAGAACCTATTTCTGTAGGCCATTCTTTTTTCTCAAACATTTGTCATTTTATTGTGCCTGTGAGGCGGTTTGTCTGCAGGGGACATACGTATTTGGGGACGTGGTTGTTGACATATAATGTGATGTCTAATCTCTTCCATCAGATCGGTCTTTTGGTTGCATTGGCTAGAGCATATGCACTTCTATATGGTATCCGAGCCAAGAGGTCTTGAGTTCAAGATTCGGCTGGTGCAATTACATTGCAGCCCACTTTCAGTCCATGTTTAGGCCTGAGGAAGCCACACGTGAGGGGGAGTGTTGACATATAATGTGCTGTCTAGTCTCTTCCATCAGATCGGTCTTTTGGTTGCATTGGCTAGCATATGCACTTCTATATGGTATCCGAGCCAAGAGGTCTTGAGTTCAAGATCCTCCCAACGCAGTATTAAATAAAACCCGCCTCCCTTCATCAATTTGGACTTTTGGATAAATTGGCTAGTGCATGAATTCAATAGTGGTGGTGTGATTTCTGTCTGCCCTTGTGATTTTTGTGGAGATGTGGTTCTTATCACCATCTCCGCACGTCCAATTCCCTATGAAAGACTCTTTACGCCTCTTGGTCCCCACCGCCCGCCGCCGTATATAAGCATATGAAAATGCTTGCCTCCTTTCCACTAAGGGTCCTCATCTCACCTCTGGGGCTCACCCGTACGTCACTTGGCGCTTCTTCCAAATCCTAAGGCGGTGTCTTCGACATCGTCAAGGGCTGATGCAGCGATGCCCTTGACCTCGAGCCCGCCCAACCCATCGGCGGCTCGACCTCATGATCACCCAGGCTGCCGGCGCCCGGCAGTCTCCGGCCCTTCCAATATCATATGTCCGTCAACCACTGTTCACTGCCGGTGCACCTCTCTCTCACATTCTCCGCCACACTTCGGCCCTCCCAGTTGTCCCTTCCTTCCCCACGAACACTGAAACACCGGTATGGGTAATGCATGACGACGAGCACTGGATTCACCTGTTTTCCATGGTAATTGCATGTTGTGTCAATCTTGTCAAAAACATTCATGATTTTCTAATCATCGTTAAAGGTGTTAATCAGTCATCTAGTACATCAGTGCATCCAATATGCCCCATACATCCAGGCCTCTGCACTCCAGAGATTTACAAAACCCATGCTCCAAACTAATAAATACTCCATGGCCCCATGCTCCTGAATGAGATGGGTACACGGCATGTCGGATCAATTCCATGCTTCTGTTCAATGCCATCGCCAGGTCATCACCGCCCACCCTACGCCGGTGAGATGGAGTCGCGCCTGCGGGTAGACCAGCGATCGACGGTGCCAGTTTACAAGAAAGAGTTTACATGAACCAATTGTCATGACTCGGCTACAGCTACTCTCTGGCCCTGGCCATTTGCTTCCCTTCTCTTCTGCCATCACACAAACAAATATCATCTTAGTACAGCAGCAAGCACAGTAACAAAAGTAAACACGAGTCAACTAGACCGCAAGAAAACGCCATGGAGGCGCGGAAAGAAAGCGGCACCTCGGTGGAAATCGAAGACTTCCTAGAAGTTGAGAATTGGCTGAACATCTCCCTCAAGCTCCTCCTATCCTCCTCCGAGGTCGATGGTCTAGCCTCTGAAGCAACAGACATGAGAGTTCCACTGGTGATAAGAGGCAGCTCTTGCGGGATATCACCACTACCGTCTCCTGGTTGGCATCGCACAGCCTCCTTGGCGGCTTCCAGCCCAGCGTCCGTGAGTATAGCTTTGAGATCAGCACCGCTGAACCCTTCCGTCATTGATGCGACAAGTTCAAGATCGGCATCGCTTGCCAGAGGAAGCTGAGACAATGTCCACAGTTCTGCCACCAGTCAGAATAACGACAATCTTTGCCAAAGTTTGTTCTCATAGCGTGTATTTCCAAGTACGTAAACAGGAGCATATATATGTCACCACCCAACCCACAGAGGTAGATCTCAAGTTTATTCTCATCATGTTGAACAGAAAGCAAATTGGACACACCATGTCATACCTACAGTGATAGCAGAAGTAACTTTCTACAAGAAATCTTACCTCCTTTGAGAGCACCCTGAGAATGTCCAGACGTTCATTCCATTGCGGGAAGTCGCAAAATACAAGCCGATCAAATCTTCCAGGTCGTAATAGTGCAGCATCAATTTCGCGCGGCTTGCTGTATTTGCAAGGAATAACCAAAATTATTCTTCACAGGCACGAGTGATTTCTATAGAAGAATTTGAGTTCAGGGGAAAGAATGCAAGCAAAGGTAGCCAGAAGCAATTTCATAATCAACACGTGAGAGAATCAATATGGCTCTTTACTTGGGGAAGTTACTTCTATTTGAAAATGAATGGGGTACTTAGCAAAGTATGCACTTTATGCCCCTATTGACCGGAAATTCATGCTTTGGATCAAACTTCCCACAGGAGCAGTATTTTGGTATCATGGTGCTATTTTAGAAGGTTAGATAGTAATAGTATAGACTAAGAAAACCTGCCGAATCCTGCCTACTGGTAAATGACTGTTTTTTTTTCTTTCTAAAAATTATTTTGGAGGGTCTAGAATTTGTTTTCTTTTTTACAGGTAGCAGATAATGCATCTGTTACCCTTTGCAGTAACTTACTTGGTGGCAGCAAATACAAATACTCCCGTCAGAGCTTCTACACCATCTAATTCCGTCAAAAACTGCACAAATGGTACAAAAGTAATTCAAGTAAGCAATCACATTTTGTTTCAAACCAATTAGGTAACATGGATGTTATTAAGAAGCAGGAGCCTGCGTTGATTTTACCTGGTTGACAACACGGTCAGTAACTTGTGTACCATGTTTTCCTCGCTGTGGTACAAGAGACTCGAATTCGTCAAAGAAAAGTAAACAAGGTAACGCAGCAGCTGCCTTTGCAAACGTATCACGAACCTATGCATAAAAAACTTAAAATCAGAACCCAATTATACATTGTTTAGTTTTTAGAATGCTTTTTATCTATTACTGATTTACAGCTTATGGTTGACTAGGGATGTGTAACTATGCAACATAGTATGGAAGGTAAACCTCTAATGGATCGTGAAATGCTAGTAGTGGCAGAGCAAAAGGAATGATAAATCGTTCGACTCTTTTGCTTCTGTAAACTAATTAGGCCACTGCAATCCTGCCCGTTGATTCAGAAAAAGATAATCAAATTCAGAATGATGGTTCCTCACATATTGCTCAGTAGAACCAATGTACATATTCATCAATTCTGGCCCCTTGATTGGAATGAACCGTAAAGAATACGCAGCAGCTACAGATTTCACAACATGGGTTTTGCCACAGCCTGTTGGGCCATACAGGAGGATGTTCGATCGCAACCTTACAGGAGCCCCAGCAGAAAACTTCGGATATTTTAGTGGCAATTCAATAGTCTGCAATGAAGAATGAGAAAAGGTAAGCAGGAAGCTCCTGAGCAACAAACACAGAATATTTCATTCTCTCTGTTCATGAAACTTTGAGTTTGATGAGACAATCCTCCAACATTTGGAATTATTATGTGTGCATACCTCTTTAATAACATTTACAACTTCGGAAAGTCCTCCGACATCTTCCCATCCATTGCTAATTTCAGGCGAAAATTTACTAATATCACGCATCGCAACAGGAGAAAAGTTCCTCATGGCTTTCAGGAAGTCTTCCTCCACCAGATTTACAGTAGAAGACCCAAGCAAACGATCCGAAGCAGCAAGCACAGTGTTATCAACCAAAATTCCCTACAATACAGGAGTACATAAGGCATGATCAAAACTAAAAAATACAAGCAAGAAAGAATACAAAATAACCCTGAGCACAAGTGTAGACCAAAACAGAAGCATGCTCCTGTTATGTCTTTGCTCCATCAGGTCTATGATGTGAACTTCAAAGCTTAGCCAGGTTCCAACCGTTAGGACATCTTTCTATGGTACCATACAAAGTTTTACGCAGTAACTAATACACCCAAAAGATTAAGTTGCTGAAAAATAAGTAACCAAATTTGATTTTTTCTTATAACAGACTCCAAATGCCAAAACATTCCAAGCGAGAAATAAATGACTCTTCATAAAAAAATCATAACATGAAATGCATCATTATGGAAAAATACTACCAAATCATATGCATCATAACCATCACATTTCGAAGCAATGTTGCTGATGATTTCCGCAGTACATAGTAAGTGAAGCTTGACAATTGTCTGCCTCAGTATCTCTATACGAGCAGGCGCAGACAAACCAGGAACTTGGACATGAAGATCAAATCTCCCTGCAATAAAGATTAGAGTGTAAATATGTTCGCACACAAACACGTCACCGTGTACCCTCGACGCCGGGGGTGATGCACCGCAGCTCACGTCGAAGGAGACCCGCCGGAAGCGCGGTACGCAAGACAATCTGGCGGGCGCTTTTGTAGACCCGAAACCCCACACGCCCGGGAGGGACCCCGTCAGGGCGCGGCGCGGCTATGGGCTGCCCTAGGTCGGCCTGACCGCCCCTAGGGCCTCGAGGTTCGCCGCCCTGCAATGAAGAAGAACGAACGAAGAACGAGGAAGAAGAAGAACAAGGGAGAAGGAAAAGTAAAGGTAAAAAGTGTAGATAGATTTGTTCGATTGTGTGTTGTTCAATCGGCCGTCACCTCTTGTCTATATAAGAGGCGGGTGGACTTCCCGTACAAGAAAAGGACTTGCCTAGCCGTCCAAATCATCAAAACCTAATAAAACACGGACTATTCACGACCCCCGGCCCGGATGTCCGGCTCAAGACCCGGATGATCCGGCCTAGCCCAGTTTTTTGACAGCAGCTCACTGTTTTGGCTCTAGAATCCTCATACGACCTCGGATTTGGACGTTTTTTATATCCAAATCAACCTTCTCGACGAGACGCACAACTTTCATGTTGAACACTTTTTCATCTGAGGTCATCTTGGGGGTGTTTCGGGCCGTTTTCTAAAGTCTGCAGCAGAAAAACGTGTCCGGACACCCGGACGATTGCCCGGATTGTCCGGCATTTACCCGGATCATCCGGAAGTTGATCCAGATCATCCGGCTTCAACTTTTAGCTTCTGTTGTTTTGGTCAATTTTTCGGCCCTCGGCCGGATGATCTGGACCCCGGTCCGGATGATCCGGCCATACAGTGCTGCAGCACACAATTTTGACTGTAACTTTTGCATACGAACTCGGATGGGGATGATCTTTATATCAAAATCGTTCGTCTCGACGAGACGAAGAACTTTGCAGTTGTAACTTTTTCCATCAGAGGCCATCTTGGGGGCGTAATCAGCCGAATACTGTTCTGAACACAAAATCTCAATACTTCGAATACAACTTCGGCCTTAGAGATGAGATCGGATGGCTATGGCCCAAATATCAATTATGTTTTTGACCATGCCAAAATCTGGTATCAACACATGCCCCCCTGTTTTTCGGCAAAACTTGTGTGCCAAAAAATAACTTGCACGAAGTTTGTTCTAAGCACGATGTCAACACTCCATCGGCCGTTTTATACGTGCTTTGGACGATAAGTATATACCGGCCATTTAGATTAGCAACAAAAATGAAGCTAATCGAACATATAATGATTTGGTAATACCCTTTCATGATGTAAGAAATTATATTGCATCCATGGGTCAAAATAAGTCCACGGAGGGTAACCAGTCATACTTGAGGATGAATTCCATGGCATATGCATTAATGACATAGTTGAAGAATATGGATGTTGTTTGAACCGTAGATTCTGATGTGCAAACCCTCGACTTGGTTGTTCGAAGCTTGCACTCTTCTCTTCCTTCACCTTTGTCGCACTTATTGCAATGGAATCTTGCATATTATTCTTTTTTTTTAGTACTTCCTTTGAGAACCCATGCCATGTTCATCCTTTCAAGTTCTTGTGCACTAAGCTTTTGTACTTTCTTCTTTTGCCAATATGGTAAGCCGAGTGGGCACCCCGGCTGCGATTTTCTTTGAAGTAATGGCAATTCTTGTTTTATCTTGGGCACTCTCAACTTCCTCCCTTCAGATTTGGCACTTGATTGACTCTCAACAATTGATTGCTTCATCTCATTGCCTTTAGTAGCCAATGTCAACATTTTAGTTGGCTCTTTTTCTTTTGAGATCAAATCTGAAGTAGCACTCTTACGACCATCTCTTTTAACGCGGTAAACTTGCTTGACCACCTCCTTTCTATTCCTTGAGCACTGGACCGATTCCTTATGATCGAAACGGTCTTTAGCATGTGATTGTTCAAATGTTGATCTTCTCGGAGCTGCATAATATTGGTTAGATGGTCTAAAATAAGATGGAGAGTGTGCCCTCGTATCATACCTGTCCCATGATGGATATGGATCTATATGAGCATAGGCATCCACGACATTGGCATTGGCGGCCCAAAATAAGGATATGAATATGTTGCATTAAAATTATCACTTTGCCAATACCAATCCTCATATTTGCGCCTTGGGGGTGATCTTGGTTTCTTTGCATGATTTGGCCGATAAGCATTCTTCTCTTCACTCTTCTTTTGATATTTATCCAATAGTTTAGTGAAGGTGATTTTTGATCTCTTACACTTGCGCTTATTTCGGCATTTGTTTCCATTGGTTGTGCTTGCACCAATCATTGGATTTGCTTGCTGCCCCCCAGTCTTTGGCGTCTCCATTGTAGCTTCGATGGAATTCTCGCCCTCAAAATTATGTTCATTGCTCTTCAGCAATTTCTTTACTTGAAAGCTTGACCCCATCACCTGCAGTTTTTACCTCCTCTTTAAATGGATCGGCTTGAAGCAGCCGATGCAAAAACTTTCTGCCATCGAGACCAATCGGAATAGACTGGTCATCTCTTGGTGTCTCAACAAATTTCAATCGTCATTTTTCAATGGCCGATTTAACTATTTGACGAAACATATTGCAATCCTCAAAATTATGTTTGAACGAATGATGCAACCTACAATACATTCGTCCTTGAACTGATGGCTTGACATGGTGATCAAGAATTCTTATGTAATTATTTTTCAGCAATAAATCAAATATTTGGTCACACATGCTTGAATTGAAGGTAAACTTCTTGCTTTCTAGCCGATCTTGCTGTGTGAACGGCTTTGAAGATAAGCAAACGAATGGTTCAGATTTAGAATCTTCCCATTCGGCTATACATTGTGTTTTCCACTCTATCTCCGGTGTCTTTGGATAAGATATTATATTAGCATCGGATTTCTCAAAAGAAATTAACCTTGGCTTTAAACTTCCGATACGAAAATATTTAGAACACACATGTCTCAATTGAGACAAAGTGCAAGCCAAGTAAGAAATAAGCAAAGCTACTCAACTAGATATGAACTTTAGATAAAGCAACGGGGAAAGCTTTGGCCACAACAATAAGTCATTATCGGTCTTTATAAATGGTGCAATGGGTTGACCGATATAGTCTATAACAATTTTGTTGCTAACAAGTAAATTACCCTTCTTCATTGGTCTTTCAAAATTACTTATTAGAATTTTTCTTATAGAAGCATCGACAATAAAGTTGCGACCAAATCGGAAGATAGGCAAGTCATTTGCTAGACATACCTCTTCAATTATGTTGGGAGAGCATGATGGTTGTATCACTTGAATAATACTTTGTTCCACTTTTGAATGACTCTCCAATGCCTTGGCATCCTCTTTTTCTTTGATAGATTCGGTACACATACTATTTGATTTGGCTTTTTTAATAACCGAATTAACTTTGTTATCCGAATCACCACTCTTTCTTTCTTTGATTTGCAAGGTTGCTTGTCCTTGTCTAAATTCAGCAAACATTGTAGCTAGTCTATCTTTAAGCTTTTTTCGACCAATTTCAGCCCAATCTTCATCGGATTGCCCCCCAATACTTTGAGACGCTTTCGGCAATGGTGTGTTGCCGAATTTCTGTAATTGTGCAGGGGCAACATGATATGCTACGTTACTAGGTAAAGACACATGCGCTCTGGTAGAATTCTCACTTATTCGGCCATGAGCATGAAGGTGCGGAGCCGAATCACGAATATCTACAATTGCGTATGGTGCCGAAAAATTCGTACCATGAGGTGTAGCATACGATGTTTGAGGGTAATTGGCCGAATAACTAGTAGTGGCATGGCCAATTCCCCTATCCACCGGCACGTTTGGATTAACATACTGCAAGTTATTTGCCGATGAATAAAAAGTCGAAACACTTTGTTGCATACTATTGGAAGTTCCTACATGGGGTGTCTCAACATGATTAACCGAACTCCTCATGTTGTTCATCGGCATATATATTTGTGGGGTTGCCGATGCATGGGAGTTGGGATACATATGTTGCATGTTGCTAAAATTATATGAAGTTGAAGTATGAAGATTATTCTGAATCGGCTGTTGCACAAAATTAGATGCATGATTGATAAAACTAGGGCTAGCCGATACAATATGCTCATTAGACGATCTAGCAACAACATATGTATTATTTGCATCTACATAAGTGAATTGGGTATTCATGTTACCTTTCTAGATTGCAAACCCTAGATGACGATCTCTTCGTACCAAAAATGGGCTGGAGACCGTTCAAAGCTTCGTCCCCAGCGGAGTCGCCAAAAAGTGTGTTCGCACACAAACACGTCACTGTGTACCCTCGACGCCGGGGGTGATGCACCGCAGCTCACGTCGAAGGAGACCCGCCGGAAGCGCGGTACGCAAGACAATCTGGCGGGCGCTTTTGTAGACCCGAAACCCCACACGCCCGGGAGGGACCCCGTCAGGGCGCGCGACGGCTATGGGCTGCCCTAGGTCGGCCTGACCGCCCCTAGGGCCTCGAGGTTCGCCGCCCTGCAATGAAGAAGAACGAACGAAGAACGAGGAAGAAGAAGAACAAGGGAGAAGGAAAAGTAAAGGTAAAAAGTGTAGATAGATTTGTTCGATTGTGTGTTGTTCAATCGGCCATCACCTCTTGTCTATATAAGAGGCGGGTGGACTTCCCGTACAAGAAAAGGACTTGCCTAGCCGTCCAAATCATCAAAACCTAATAAAACACGGACTATTCACGACCCCCGGCCCGGATGTCCGGCTCAAGACCCGGATGATCCGGCCTAGCCCAGTTTTTTGACAGCAGCTCACTGTTTTGGCTCTAGAATCCTCATACGACCTCGGATTTGGACGTTTTTTATATCCAGATCAACCGTCTCGACGAGACGCACAACTTTCATGTTGAACACTTTTTCATCTGAGGTCATGTTGGGGGTGTTTCGGGCCGTTTTCTAAAGTCTGCAGCAGAAAAACGTGTCCGGACACTCGGACGATTGCCTGGATTGTCCGGCCTTTACCCGGATCATCCGGAAGTTGATCCAGATCATCCGGCTTCAACTTTTAGCTTCTGTTGTTTTGGTCAATTTTTCGGCCCTCGGCCGGATGATCTGGACCCCGGTCCGGATGATCCGGCCATACAGTGCTACAGCACACAATTTTGATTGTAACTTTTGCATACGAACTCGGATGGGGATGATCTTTATATCAAAATCGTCCGTCTCGACGAGACGAAGAACTTTGCAGTTGTAACTTTTTCCATCAGAGGCCATCTTGGGGGCGTAATCAGCCGAATACTGTTCTGAACACAAAATCTCAATACTTCGAATACAACTTCGGCCTTAGAGATGAGATCGGATGGCTATGGCCCAAATATCAATTATGTTTTTGACCATGCCAAAATCTGGTGTCAACAAAATACTTTTTCATAAAGGGTTTTTAAACGATTAGAATCTCTCCCTATGTGGCTGATCTGCAAGCAGCATAATGACTGCATTTTCGATGGCACTCATGGTGGAGATCAAGAAAGTATGCAGGCTTTGGAGGTTGGCGGGCCCAGCACCGTTAGACAGGTTGTTCAAATGTGAGATAGAAAGATAGCTGCTCTTAGGTGGGTAGTAGGTTAGGGGTCAACTTATATCTTGTATTTGTTAAACTACTGTCTTAAGTTGTCATGCCTACAGGCAACTTGCTGTGTTTACAATTCGTCTAATGAATGAAATGATCTCCAGTGGGAAAAAAATGATATACAGATTTCCTGTGTATTCTCAAAGAAGATGATTGAGCTTTAAGATCAGAGAAATAGGTAAGGGATAAAAACCTGAGGAAGTCAACTCTTGAGGAAGACACTTAAGTGACTTAGCTGAAGCCAGAAATGCAACAGGTCCATACCCACACATGCCATGACTTTTATCCTAACCAGAGCATGGAGACACGTTAGTGAAAAAAAATCGGTAACATACAGTACAATGACAAGTGTTATTGTATCCAATGGAAATTTAGGTGTCCCTGGAGCTGATGGGTGTTTCCTCACAGAAAATTAAATAGATAATGAGAGTGTGAAACTTCCGGACAAACTTACTCTGTACTCATCTAGCATGTCTATCAAATATTTCACAATAGCACTAGAATTGGACGACTGAGATTTTAGGTTGTCCGGGGAGAATGAAATTAGACTGTCCAGATCATCGAATATTACAATTGAAGGGGAGTGAACAATAGCTTCATAGATATAGTCTGCAATTTGCTGGAGCTGCTTCTTATTCTTCTCAGTAGCTAGCTTTGAGCAGTCTACATAAACCCTACATATGAAAAAACAAGCATATATTAGTACCATATAAAGAAATATTTAGTGCCATGGAAACATATTTATTTAAAACTTAAATGACGCCCTAATTCAGGTTCACCACAGCTCCGAAAACAAAATCAGTTTAAACAATATATTTGGCTTAACATGTTTTATTCATCAGCACATAAGCACTCAATCCATTTGCCCAAAAGTAAACGAAAACAATTTTGCAAAAGAAACAGACCAGCTTTAAAGCAATAGAAGGCCTGAATTTTTTTTGACTGAATTACACTCAGCAATTACTTCATTGCCAACTACTCAACTTATTCTGATAACTCGAAACCATCTGGCGCTTACTATCAACACTACGAAATACTACGCCATTATTTTTCTCCCATAAAAAAATGAAAAACTTAACCAACAGTATACCATGCTTTGCTCCATGAGAATGCACTTCAACTTTAAAAATATGAGTAAAAGAAGAAAAGGAAGGTCACTTTTATGATAATCTATAACTTAGGTAACTGCACTTAGCCAACTATGAGCGCACCCAACAACTTGGCACTTGGCAGTCAAAGGTCAAAACATAATCAACCAAGTAGGACAAATTGGCAACTAATTTGCTTACACATGAGCCAGAATTTCTTTATGCTCTTCAAAGTGTCTTGCAACAGCTTTGCATAAGGTTGTTTTCCCAGAACCCTGAAATGAGACAAAAGTAACAAATAAAAGAGTAGTACGGAAAAACAGGAAGAAATGAAGACATTTCAGAAGAACCCTAGTGCAAAATAGATATTTTGAACTAGATTCATATAAGATTTCAATTAATCCTAAGAGGTAAGAACGTGTGCTTACTGGAGGGCCATATACAAGAACATTTCCTGGATAGGGACACTTTATTCTACTCAATAATTTTAGAGATGCTGAAGACAAAACCACACTTAACCCTACAGAGAAGTGCATCAAGATTCAGTCAGATGGTGGATACTGTTAGTAGGATAATGGTCATCAGGAGCATGAATTATGACATACAAAAGATTGAATGCAAGTCTAAAAAAGGATTTACTTTTTTCTATATCAGAAAATTCGTTCTCCAGCCAACTTAAAATTAGACAGACCTCTGTCAGAGATTTTCCTTGCTCGTTCCATTGTTGAATCAAGGGATATAGCCTTATTCAACTCCAATTTCTGAAGAGCCTCTTCAAAGTTATCAATATCAAACTCAGTTGCCATGCCAAGTTCAATTTTCTTGTGATTAACACCAAAATCAGAGGTAGTCGTCAAGAGGTAAATGAGGTCAACAGGACTGCCTCTTGTTTGATCAATCACTTGAAAGTGAAGTAATGTTTCAGATGGCAGAAGCACTGTGTTTAGTTCAGGTTGGGCAATCTGAGAGGAGAGTCCCTTGAGCTGCCCAATAAGCCATGATCTGATGAAAGACCTCTCCTGTTTTAACTTAACACTTTCCTCCCAATTTGCAACTGCAGTAATATCATTAAACCCACGCAACATGTTGATGTTATTGTCCGTGGGAGGATCATCAGCTAAAGATATCTCACCCACCGTTGGGTAAATATCCTGTTCTTGACAGTCTAATGCACTGTTATCATCAGAATTTCTCTCCGGCATCTTAAAGTGGAGTGGATGAATTGTTATTGACGGTGTACTCTTATTTACAGCGGGTGAGAATCTCTGCACATAAACCCCTACAAATAAACTTCATTCGTTAGCACATTCCTACTAAAATAAAGTTTAGAAGTGCCAGTAGAGTGTTCTGCTAAATTGTGTTGTTAATTTGTCTGCTTATTTTCATTTATGTTGCACATAGAAATACCATTTGAGTTGAATTGCAGCAATATTAGGGTAAAGCAGTTTTTACTGCTTGTACAAACTCTTTCGGCCTTTTAACTAAAAATTAAGGTCTTTGAGAGTGGTGCTTACTTTTCTTTTGCAATTATGGAGTGCACAGAACACAACACACCTTACTATGAAATCATAACCAAAACAAAAGAAGTAAACCAATGAAAAGACAATTTTGATCAAAAAAAATACAACTGCATCACTTACCTCATAAATCACAGATATATCCATTATATAATTAAAAAGAGATTGGAAAATAGATATCAGGATTTAAAATAAACTTATATGAATGAACACTGTTCTCCATTTCTTGATTTTTGTACTAAACCGATGAAACAGAGGATGGATTTGAGAAGAACAATATGCCTCACAAATAGTTATAACATTATATTTTATTTTAAAAAACAGAAACAAGAAAATAAATATCAACCTATTTAAATGAAACAGTAGATGTATCGGGAAAGCATAATCTGCTCTTTAGTTAAAAGTTCGAAAGAGTTTGTACAAGCAGCACAAACTATTTACAAGAATGGGTGTAGCACATTATGTCAACCTATTTAAATAAAACAAAAAAGAATGGGTGTAGCACATTATGTCAGGATCTATACTTACATGAATGAACACATGTTCCAATGTAACAGCGGATGGATTGAGGAAGCATAATATGCTCTTTAGCAACAGAATCTGATAATATGATGTGGACGACAATGTGACTATTCCTCTTCATACCAGGCACTGAACCCTTGATCTGCTGATCAGATCCTTTTCCATTTTCTGTACTATCCTTTGGAGAGAATTTAGGGGTGATACTCACCAACTGAAGATTACCGAGAGACAATTTTACAGCATTATCTGGGTGAATCTGTACAGCATATGTAACAAACACACCCAGTTGAATTCCGTTATATTCAAATCGATCTACATATTTCCCTCCTGCTTCCTGAACACGGAGGAGTGCCTTTTTATGGGGCTGTGCTTTGAGTAAATCTTGTTTAGGGGCACACTCGATAGAATATGCATCGCCTTTTCGTTTCTTTGGTGCAACAGCAACTTCAGTTCCAGGAACAAGTTGAACTAAGAAAACAAAATAGGGAACAAAAAGGTTAACATGCATTAAAAATGATGGATAATTAGTTAATTGGACTCACCTATTGAGTTACTAGGTGATGCTGAAATAACAAGAAATTCCACTACATTATCACCGTGCAACCATAAGGGAAATTTCATACCATCATAAACAATACCAACCTACATTAAAAACCAAAAGTGGCCATCAAGCATAAAAAAGTTAAGAAGAAGAAAACGAAAGCTTTAGATGCGGATATATGGGCAGCCTACAACTTATGATTTTTTACATAGGATGCTTCACATGTAAAACTAGACTAGCCTGATTCGTGAAAAACTAATAAAAAACATGCTTCCATGTATGTAATATTTTGTACGTAAGTTTGCAATGGCATCATAACTTTTTTTTTGAGGAACAGAACTAATAAATTTCGGCGATTTATCACTATACTTTTTATGGAGCAATACCATCGAACAGCAATCTAAATGTTCATCTTGCCTTCCTCCAAAGAAATGTTCATTAGTATTTTATCGTAATGCTGATTTGGTGATAATTGAATGGTTAAGATGCGCCGACCAATATGATGTTACCTGTTTCAAAATGGCCTCTTCTGCCAACTCTGAGTTAAGCTCCAATACTTCCCAGTCCTCCTCACTTATTGGCTCCACAGATACAAATTTGGCTTTTGGCAACACAGAAACAGCACTCAGTGATGCTTTCGTATTGTCAGGTAGCGAAATGCATGCAGCAAATTGTTGGGAAACCTAGAAATAAGAATGTGCGTGAACATTGCTGGCAATTCAGAATTTCAGATTCTTTATCATCCATGAAATTCGATTTTCTGGGATTTGCATGCTTTGCACAAATAACAAGCAAACACCGAACCCGTTCGATGTGAAGATCATAAACATATACCAAACACCTTCGAATTCTGAACCATTCATATTTCAAAAATTCAGCCACTTGTCAGAATATAAACTAACATGCAGCATCGTCAGTTCAGCCACTACCAGATTACCCAGTTTATGGGTTTGATTGATGAAAGGATTTCTGAAGCTTGCATCTTTTCTCACGATTTTAATTTAGGGAGAGTGAATTTCAAGCTCCACTAGGAACCACAGCTGAACTGTAATCAAAACTTTCCATCCTCTCTGGGCACTACGTGCGTACGATGGGAGGAAGGAGGCGCATTAAAGGTGGCGGCTTTTAGTTTACCTCGACGGCATCTGGGGAGGCGGAGGCGGAGACGGCGCCTGCCCAGGCGAGACGCCAGCGCGCCCTGTCGGGGCCGTGCAGCTCGAGGGCGAGGACCGCGGGGAGGGAGCCGCCGGCGGCGGTGCGCTCGAGGGCTTGGATGACGGGGAGGGGGAGCGCGACGAAGCAGCTCCGGACGCCGGGCACCGTGCGCACCACCACCTCCATGGACGATGCAACCCCTGCCTGCTCGATCAGCGGAGGCCGGCGACGTACGGAACGGAACGCGCGCTAGACGGGCCGGTGGATGCTCAGAGCTGCCGTGCGTGGGACTTCCTTTTTTTTCGGGGAAATTCAGAGAGCTTTATTGAATAAAAGCATTCTTGGAACAATCAGCCATGAGGCTGGACACCAAGAAGTTAGGAGTCTCTACCTCAAAAAAAAAAAAAGAAGTTAGGAGTCTCGTCAAGCCAACTCTCGGTTACATTAAATGTGCATACACGTTTTGCACACAAGTGAGCCGGTAAATTGGCTGACCTGTTTACATATTAAATAACAAAAGAGAAAAAATGAGTCTCTTCAACAGGCCCGTTAATAGCGGGGGCCAAAGTGGCCGACCGCACAGGGCCCTCAAAATTATGGGGGTAAACCGTCTGCGCGTCGCCCGCTGCAACCTGAACCCCAGGGTCGTCCTCCGCCTCCGCACGCAGGTGCCGCCTCTCGCGATCTGCATGCCGCTCCCGTGCAATGAATCCTCGAGTGCTGGTCTTCTGCAGACCGTCCGCGGCGGCCGCTCTCCCCTGTCTAGCTCCCTGCTAGCACTAGCGTACCATGCTGGAAGTGATTCCCGTCCTCCGCCCGGCCGCTGGGCGCTAAACCGAAGATTAGCTGCCCCTCCAAAGCTGAGAAACACCGGTGCCTCTCGTCCCCTCGGCTAGTAATCAGTTGGTAATTTATTTACTTAGCCGAGAGAGGCAAACAACAATAGGCGATGCATTCGAAGTTTGAACTGACATGTTGTATGTGTTGATTTCTATGGCATTTGAACAATTAACTGATGTTGAACTGAAAAATAAATGTGTGTATGTATGGATTAAATCTGAATCGTTTCATTTTCATATCAATTTTATTCCATGTTACAGAAAAATAAGAGGAAAACACATATTTTTTCAGTGGCAACCTGCAACAACAGGAGTGTCTACACAGATGGGAGGAGTGGACGAAGCAAACTATTTGATTTGGTCTCTTTTGTATCCTTTATTATTATTTGTATTTTTTGTCATTTTTAATCTATTTGGTTCGATCATTAAACATTGAGTTTCAGTTCTACATATATTGTGCAGTGGAGCAAATTTATGTATGCTTTGGCATGAGGTTTTCCATGGATAGCTATGAGGTATTATTTGGCCACTGCAATATGAGGTATTCTTTGAAAACCTTCTTAGTTATATATGAATTTTAAATATTCTGGACCCTATTTTGTGTTCCGCCCCGGGCCCCTAAATTCCTGGAGACGGCCCTGCTCTCCAATCTCTAAAAGTAAAGGAGCCACAATTGAACGAGAATTGTGACGAGTGGTCCAGAGTGTCACCAACTCCAAGCAATCGACTTCCATTATCACATGCGAGAATCCACGAAGAGAAGCGAACCGAACACCATCTCGCAAAGAAAGTCCCTCCATGATCAAGGGATCCGAAATCCCCACATATGGCTTGCACTAGGCACCTAGAAGAGTCGTAGGAGATCGAGCAATGCCTCCCGCGCCTCCCCTGCCATCCGCCAGGTTGAGAGCTCCAACGGTTGTGATTTTCACAAACCCATCATCAGGAGGCCGCCACCCGTAGCCAGGCAAGACCAGCGTATCCTTGCGCGGCAAGTGAACAAGTGCAATGGCCTCCTTTGTAGCTCGGATAGTCGTCGTTGGGTCTCGACCTTCTTCACCGTGCTTGATACAATTCCTGGAATGCCAGATAGACCACATAATAGTGGTGATCTTTGCACGGTCATCATCCGTAAAGCGCGGGTCACATAAAATGTCGCGAGCCCACGAGTCCGGATGTAGCCGTGGAAGACGGAGCCCGAACCATGCACACGCCTCCTCCCAAAAGCGCTTAGCATGCGAGCAATGTATCAATGCATGCTTTAGATCCTCATCCATAGCAAGACAAACTTTGCATCTGCGAATTTCTGCAATGTGTCTGTACTTGAGAGTAGCTTCATTTGGAAGAATCCCTCGAAGAACTCTCCATCAAAAAACTCTCACTTTTGGGATAACATTCAATTTCCACAAGGCTTTCCACATCTGTTGTTCATCATTGGAGGTACCAGTAGCCCTCCCTTTATCTAGAGCCAAACGCTCGTTCTGAGTCACAAGAGCACGGTACACCGACTTCACAGTGTAGTTGCCTGATCTTTCGAATGCCCAAGCAAGGTAATCATCCCCCCCTTGCCGAATAGGAATATTAAGAATGGCCTCAGCATCCGGGGCAATGAAAGTCTCCCGGACCACCTCATGCTTCCAAATCTAGTTTGATGTATCAATGAGATCTTCCACCATTCGGACAGCAGTGTTCGGTGGCCTTGAGACAGGTGACATAGATATAGTACCTGGAATCCATTTATCATTCCATACATCAATAGTAGCGCCATCTCCAAGACGGGAGATCAAGCCGGTTCGAAGGGCTTCTCTTCCTGCTATAATAGATTTCCAAGTGGCCGAAGCCGACTTGGGTAAGGCTGCATGCATAAAATCCGTGTCAGGAAAGTACCGTCCCTTCAATACTCTTGCACAAAGGGAGTTGGGGTTCGTGAGAAAACGCCATCCATGCTTCCCCAACATGGCAAGATTGAATAAGTGTGGGTCTCTGAAACCCATACCGCCTTTGCACTTGGGCGTTGCAAGCTCCTTCCAAGACACCTAATGCAATGATCTTTTGTCAAGAGAACTACTCCAGAAATATTTGGCCATAGGAGCCGTCAAACTCTTACAAACTTTTTTGGTTAACAGAAAGGTACTCATTGGATAGGTCGGAATTGCTTGAACCACTGATTTCAACAAGGTCTCGCGGCCTGCACAAGCGAGTAATTTTTCCGACCATCCCTGCATTCTGGCCCTGGCTCTCTCACTGATGTGATCAAATGTCCCACTCGTAATCCGGCCCACAGCAATAGGGAGACCCAGATACTTCTCATTAAACGCCTCAACCTGGATATTCAAGGTTGTCTTCAAAAGTTGTCTCAGATCTATGGGAGTATTTGAACTGAAGTATATAGCACTTTTTTCCTTATTGATACACTGACCCGAGGCCTCCTCATAAATCCTCAAGATGTCATTTAACCGGAGAGCACTTGGGTTGCTTGCACTGATAAAGATGAGACTATCATCTGCAAAAAGTAAATGGGTTATCCACGGTGATCTATAGCTCACCCGTAGTCCCCTATCAATGGTTCCCCCATTGTAGTGTTTCAACAATGAGGAAAAGCCTTCGGCACACAGTAGAAAAAGATATGGTGACACTGCATCTCCTTGCCGAAAACCTATGGAGGGTGTAAAATAAGGAAGTAGTTCCCCATTGATTCGTACGGAAAACCGGACAGAGGAAACACACTTCATTATTAGTCTGACAAAGCCCATACTGAAACCCAAACGTAACAATATTGCCTCGAGATAATGCCACTCGACACGGTCGTAAGCTTTCATCATATCAAGCTTAACCGCGCAAGAGAAGTTCTTTCCCTTCTTTGTCCTTTTCATTGTATGGATACTTTCATAAGCCACAAGTACATTGTCAGTAATAAGACGTCCGGGAATGAAAGCACTTTTCTCCTCACTGATTATCAAATCCATCCAGCTTCGTAGCCGGTTCGTTATAGCCTTGGCTGCAATCTTGTAAAGCACCGGGCACAAAGCAATGGGACGATATTGTGTGATCGATTGGGGGTGACGTACCTTAGGTATTAGTGTTATCAAAGTGTCATTCAGGCCTGTCGGTAGTTCCCCTCCATTAAGAAAATCCAAAACTGCCAAGGTCACCTCGTTACCTAGCAAATCCCAGTGACGCTGGTAGAACCCTGCAGTAAAACCATCCACACCAGGAGCTTTGGAGGGCGCCATCTGAAACAACGCGACCTTAACCTCCTCTCCCATGTAGGGTTTATTCAACTCATCATTCATGGCTGGGGTGACTCTCTTCGGTACATGTGATAGTAGAAAACTGGAGTCTCCCCAACCCTGGGAGCGATACAAATTCTGATAAAAATTTTGTACCTCTTCCTTGTCCTCACTTTCAGAAGCACAAATAGATCTATCGGCACGTCTCAGTCCCGATATCCTATTCATTCGTTTGCGTTGGGCTGCTTGAGCTTGAAAGTAGGAAGTGTTGCGGTCGCCATCCCGAAGCCATGGAACACGGGACCGTTGTTGAAGCCAGATTTCTTCCTGATGCAAGGCCTCCTTTAGATTCTTGACAACAGTTTTCTCCTCCTCCGTCGGACCAGTACCAATGGACCGGCAACGAAGACGATCCAGAGACTTCTGCAACTGCCTAACAGAGCGTGTCAGGCTGCCAAACTCCTTGGAGCCCCAGGGTTCCAGCGTTGCCTGCAAGGTACTCAACGCGGACGCTACGCCTCGGAGCCCTGGTGTGCACTGTATGCCCCGCCAGGTATCACTTACCAACCGGTCATAATCTGCATGAGTCTGCCAAACGTTCTCGTATCTAAATTGCTTCTGTTTCCGAGTTGACGTTGGCAAGTTCTCCTTAATCTCCGCAAATACGAAACAATGGTCAGACTCTACCGAGGGAATATGCCTGACACGTATATGCTGAAAGAGCTGCCTGAAAGCTTCATTTGAAAAAGTGCGATCGAGTCTAGCCTTGACATTTGCTCTTCCAGCTTGGTGATTATCCCAAGTATAGGCTGTACCGGACCAGCCTAGGTCTTGGAAAGAGATCTCATCTATCACCTCCCGAAAAGCACGCATCTGATTTTCAGATCTCGCTGATCTACTAAAGTGCTCAGAGGGGTATAATGTTTCATTGTAGTCTCCCATGCTGAACCATGCAGCATGTGGTAACGTATGTAGTGTACGCAAGAACCGCCAGGAATGATGCCTATCTTCTGCTCGCGGAGCTCCGTAAAAACCAGTGAAACGCCAAGTCAAATCCTGAATATTACTCTTGACAACCACATCAATGTGATTCTGGCTGTAGTTATTTAACTCGATA